TTCTTCCCTCGTTTTGACTTTGTCATTGGGAGTAATCCAGAAATTACTACCTTCAAGGTTCAACTTTTTAATCTTCTGCTTAACCTCTTTAAATTCATTCTGCACTGCTCTAGTCTCTTCCCTAAAATAAAAAAGGCCATTCCGGTCAACAGGTATTTCTGGCTTTGCAATCTCACCTTTAACAATAAAGCTTGAAACGTTTGGAAACATCCTTAATCCTAGCACCAGGAAAGCAACAAACCATCCTAAATTTATGCTCACTGCCACAGAATTGCCTGTCTATGCCCCTATAATAGTAATTCTATTAAATCTTGTCGAACAATAAGTATGGTTTCAAGTGTCCAATAACTGACTGGCCCTTCCATTTTCCTCAGAGAGATTATTCCCTTCAACTGTTCCAAAAACTGAATATCTATTTGATAGAGGAACAAAATTCTTCAGTGGCTGAACTACCTTCTTACTTTTCCTGACAGTCACCCAACTATTGACTGATCCTGCTCAGTAATAAACTTTTCTAAATCTAAATCTAAATCTACCAGCCATCTCACTCTGTACCATATATGTGCCCTTAATAAACTTTAAACCTAAAACAAAAAGGATGTTTCAATAATGCCTTATATAAAAAAATAAACTGCCTTTCATTTACCTACAGAAAATAATAAAAGTAGTTGGATATATTTTCTAACAAAAATTAAATAAAATTAACCAGTTAGCTGACTAACCGAATAAAGACAATCCCTCTTCAATAAATTCCTCGAAGAAAAAGAAATGTTCTCCAGAGCCGACCATGTGTAGGACTCTCCGGAACAAAAACACAACCCTTTACTGAGAGGAAAGTGTTTGGGTTTTTTCAAAAAACCTTTGCAATGTAAAAAACCTTCTAAGATAGACTTTAATTTCAGAATTAAGAATAAAAAACCTCAACTGTTCACTGTAGACCTTTTAAAAAACTGTTTATGTGCTTGGTTTTTCTTGAATGTTAATAAAACAAAAAAAGTGGAAAAAAATCTTATTACTAAACTATAATGACTATAATAATTTAAAAGACTATAATAAATCATTAAGCCTGCAAACCCAGGGAGCAGCTGCAAGATCCACACTCCTCCTCCTGTGGGGCTTTAGGGCATTGGTTCCAAAGTTTCAGACCGAGAAGCAAAAAAATAAAAGCACAGCCATGACCAGCAGGTGAGGGATGTATGAATTCAGAACTTGGATGTATGTCAAACTATTAAAAGACAATTAGGCAATGTGATTGCCTAGTGGTATTGTTGCTAGACTGTTATTTCAGAGACCCAAGTAATGTCTTAGTCGACCCAGGTTTGAATCTTGCCATGAAATCTGGAATTAAGAGTTGAATTCTACTATGACCACACAGTGTCCATTATTATGAACAAAATCCAACTGCTTCAGTAATGTCCTTACCTTGTTTCCCTATAAAAGGTCTGCCTACATGTAATTCCAGACCCACAGTGTGGCTGACTCTAAACTACCCTCTGCGCAATAAATGTTGCCAGGCCAGTGACACCCACATCCAATGAATTTAAAGAATGACCAAAATAGACAGGGATCGGTTAGCAGTTCTTGGTGCAATTTAAGATGCACTTTCAAGTTTACAGAATAAATAAAACATTGGATCAGGGCTGATAGGTGGTTAAACTGCATGGAAGACAAGTGAAAAATTCTTACCACCAACCCAGAAACTAAAGAAGCCCTGATCACTATTGCATCCCAGGAAAACTTCACTATTTGTGAACTGGTTCCTATTACTCCAGAATTTGAAGGATAACATACTGATCCCAATTATGAGAATAAATTGGACACACCAGACCTTTATTGCAATTTGCTCAATGGGCCATAATTCTTTTGAAGAACAGAATTCCAAGAAGAATCAAGAAAATAGCAGAATTCCAGGGTTGAACTGAAATGCCAAAAACAAACTTGAACAAAACACAGGCCCAACCAGTCCCCCTCCACCGACACCCTCAACCGCTTAACCAAACTCATCCCTGCCCTTAACATCTCCTTCAACTCCTCCCACTTTCTACAGACTAAGGGGCTGGTCATGGGAACCCGCATGGGCCCAAGCCATGCCTGCCTCTTTGCAGGATACGTGGAACAATCCCTCTTCCACAGCTACACTGGCACTATTCCCCACCACATCGACGACTGTATCAGTGCTGCCTCATGCTCCCACGAGGAGCTTGAACAGTTCATCAACTTTACTAACATCTTTCACACCAATCTCAAATTCATCTGGACCATCTCTGATACCTCCCTCTCCTTACTGGACACCTCTGTCTCCATCTCTGGTGACTGCCTCAAAACTGACATCTATTTCAAGCCCCACCAACTCCCAAGCTACCTAGATAACACCTCCTCTCACCCACCTTCCTGCGAGAAGGTGATTCCCTACTCCCAATTCCTCCGCCACGCCTGTGCCCGTGCCCAAGATGGGGCGTTCCACTCTCGAACATCCCAGATGTCCTCCTATTTCAAGGACCGCAACTTGCCCCACCTTTGGTGGTCGAAAACGCTCTCGACCGCATCACTTGCGTTTCCCACCCCACTACCCCAACATCCCCTCCCCGCAATTAAAAAGAAAGACAGAATCCCCCTTGTCCTCGCATATCACCCCACTAACCTCTGTATTCAACGTATCATTCTCCACCACTTCTGCCACCTGCAATCCAACTGCACAACTAAAGATCTATTTCCCTGCCCACCCCTACCTACCTTCTGTAGGCACCGCGCTCTCTGCGACTCCCTCATCCGCTCCACACTCCCCACTAATCCCACCACCCCCGGCAACCGCAGGAAGTGTGACACCTGCCCCTACACCTCCTCCCTCACCGCCATCCAAGGCACCTAGCAAACCTTCCACATTAGATAGAGGTTCACCTGCACATCCATCAACGTGATCTATTGTATCTGCTGCTCCCGATGTGGTCTCCACTACATCGGTGAGACCAAGCGGAGGCTCGGAGACCGCTCTGTAGAGCGCCTGCGCTCTGTTCGCGACAAACGAGAACACGTTCCAGTCGCAAACCATTTCAACCACACCCCCACTGCTCCCACTGCAACATGTCCAGCCTTGGCCTCCTCCAGTGTCACAATGACACCACCCAGAAACTGCAGGAGCAGCACCTCATATTCCACCTTGGGAGCCTACAATCCAATGGCTTAAATGTGGATTCTACCAGTTTTAAAATCTCCCCACCCCCTGGCCTCATCCCATGACCAACCCTCCCTCTCACCCCCACCTCCTTGACCTGACACAACCTGTGCATCTTCTCTCCCACTGGTCTGCCCCTCCCACCTCACCAACCAATCCCCACCACTCCCTACCTGCCCTCATCTATCACCACCCCACCTACCTTCCCCAGACCCTCTCTCTCTTTGAGCTCCCTTCCCCCTCCCCCCTTTCTGAAGAAGGGTCCTGACATGAAACGTCAACTTTCCTGCTCCTCTGATGCTGCCTGACCTGCTGTTCTCCTCCAGCTCCACACTTCTGACTCCAGCATCAGCAGCTCTTACTATGAGTTTTTTATGATTACCCGCTTGTAAACAAACATGGCAAGTTATAAGATTCTAAAGCATTTACATAAAACATACATTAATCCTGAACGAGGGTGCCCAAGTTGTAAAGTAAACATACAAGTTAACTGAAACAGTGGTCGTGCATCACTCCCAAAGACTGCAGTTTAAGTGGATGATGCAGTCTGAACTGATCCCAACCAGACATTAGTGGCAGTGGAGGTAACCAAATCTAATTAAAAATGGTCTCCTTTGCAAAGGATTCCAATTCCTCACCGAAGATCCAACCTTGGAAACTCAAAACCACTCCAATTCAGACTGCCTCATCCACTGTTCACATTTTGGTAGTTCTATCTTCTACCAAGCCAGGGCTCCTGAGGTAGCATCTAGCATCCAGACACCATTAAAATTTCAGTTTTCGAACAGCTTGCTTCACCAAGCTTCCATTGAAATTTTTCTAAGCTCCAATCTTTCTCATTTGCATCAAGCAAACACTATTGTGGACTACCTCCATCCCATTTCCAGCTGCACTCAATAATCTAACATGTCACATGTCTCTTTAGCCCAAATATTATTCGCATAGCACGGTGCCACCATTCCCCAGGGCATCTTCTGAGCTTTACTGGCCTGAAGATTGCAAACAGCAGCATTGCATTGCCTAGAGAAAACAAATTGAAGCCACACTACCCTTTTAACCTCAACCCATCTCCAAATGACAACATAGTGAGCAATCATTAACCCAATGTTTGGGTTTAGTATCCCTCATTTGCAATAACGGGTTTCACAGTCTTTCAGCATTCACTGAATGCTGATTAACTGATTTAACTTTAGCAACAAAAACAAAAACAAAAACAAAAACACTCTCCAGACTGTCATTGTTTCAGATAGTGTAGATACCACATCTCAACTCTCCAAGACAACTGCTGTTTTGGACCCTACTTTTCTAACTGTTACCTTCTTAAAGGCAACATGATTGCAACTTAATGTAAATGATTTCAATTAATTTATGCTATTTAATTCCTAAAGCTAAAAAAGTTTATTCTAATTGGAATACATGAACTTTACACAACATGAACAATAACAAGTTTCAATACTGAATTAATGGCTAGCTTTGGACTCCTTTCTTCTCATACTAGAGATTTTTAAAAACAAGGGCAAAATGAAAACATTTTTCCAATAACTACGCACACCACAACAGCTACAAATGACTGGCTGAAGCAGAGATGATTTCCAGCAATAAGGAAGGAAAATAGGTTTGGCACAGAATCACTGATTATATTAAATTACTATTAATGAACAGCAATGTAATTTTTCTCCCAAGTCGTTCTAGAATTTCCCCAGCAAGCATCCAGTTATAGAAAATACTGGAGTTAGTAGTCATTCATCTGTGTTTGAGTAAGGGGCGATGAGGCTAAAAAAAGGGGATACAACAACACGAGGAAACAAAGTATTCTAGGTAACCTCACCATTTCCATTTGTCCTCCTCCTCTTTCTTCTTCTTCTTTCCCTGTCCAGAACTTTCCACTTTATCTTTTGACTTTTTGTTCTTCATGTCCTACCAAGAAAAATAGAAGCAATTCTGTTATTGCATAAGACACCCAGAAACCTACTGTTAATATATCTGCAGAATCATAAAGTTCCAACATCTACAACTGTGTCTTATGATAAGCAGCCCACCCCACACCAGCACAGTGGAAACTTCAGTACCCGAGGTGGGGGAGCCACAGCCACTTATTACATGACATACTAAAGTGTCAAATGTAGTGCTTCATTGAGATTCTGACAATGACAACCTTTTAACTTACAATGGATTATTTGAATTACAGAAGCTGTTGCTAGGGATAATGCTATTTGCTTTTTCATTGCAATGAAGATTAGTTCAGCTTTGTAGGGATCAGAGAGGGGTAAGCTTGTAAAAAGGTGTTTAACAGTGAATGTGCATACACACCAAATTAGTAATAAATGTCAGTGAACTGCAGGCACAAATACACACGTTGAATGATGGTACTATGACAAAAGATGTTGTTAAAACAAAAATGAACATTCCACATTTCTAGTTACAAAAAGTATCAGGAAAATAAGGAAACAGTAAGGGGGGAGTGTGGGTGGAAAGAAGGGAGGAGTTGCTCAGATACTGTCTGGGCATAGGATAAGAATGATGTACTTAAGCAAAGACAAAATCAATTTGGTTAGAATTAATTAACGACACAGAGGAGCTATTGTAGTGTTAGAAGAATACTATAGATCACCAATAGAAGAAAGGAAAAAGGGATGCAGATTTGCTGGCAAATTTCAGAAAGAAATTTAGGGTAGCAATAATTGGGTCCTTCAATTATTTCCAAATATACACTCAAACTGTATTAAGCAAAAGTAGAAGGAATTGCTGAAAATGCATTCAGAAGACCTCTTTGAGCAATCAATTTCTAACGAAGTAATGAGGAAGGAAGCACCAAAAGGACATGGTTCTAAGGAATGATGTGCAACATATCACCAGCACCAATTATGAAGAGTCATATCAGACTAGAAATGACTAGTTGGTCTCAGTATCTGTGGACAGAGAGAGAGTTAATGCGGAATCTGATATGGCTCTTTTGTGGTTGTTTTCATAGAATCCCTACAGCGTGGAAACAGACCCTTTGGCCCAACAAGTCCACACCAACCCAGACCCATCCCCCTATAACCCACCTAAATCTACACATCCCTGAACACTATAGGCAATTTAGCATGGCCAATCCACCTAGTCTGCACATCTTTGGACTGTGGGAGGAAACCAGAACACCCGGAGGAAACCCACATAGACAGTCGCCCAAGGGTGGAATCAAACACAGGTCCCTGGCGTTGAGGCAGCAGTGTGAACCACTGTTTCTCCAGCACTTTAATTTTTATTTCAAATTTCAAGCACCTGTAGTATTTTGCATTTATTGGAGTCTCAACAGTTTTGGGGGGTTGGGGGTAGGGGTAGTGGTGCGAAGAGAAGACAGACTTAGATTAGTAGGTGACAGAGCATTAGTCACGACCCTGTTCGATATCAAAAGAATGCCCTCTGGTGGTGGAAGATGACATGGGGTAAAGTTACTAATGAATCCTTTGCACCAGTCTTCCCCACTATTCACTTGAGACTGCGTGCGCACAGCTGCCTCAACGTTCCATTTACTGATACTGGTCACAGTATTTACTTTTGCGAGGTCCATGCAGAAGGAAAAAATGATAAGTAGAGGGAATGCTGGTCTTCACTGGGAAAAGGATTCTGCCTACATCACAGCAAAAGCAAAAATGGAGATTATAGAGAAAGTTGACAAATATACAGCAGTACTTAGCACTAATCAGTTCTGAACAACAGTCCTTTGAAGGGATGCAATTTGGGGGTGAGGTGGTGTGAGGAGGAGGAGGAAGAACGGATTTACAGGCATGGCATTAGTGGTGAGAAAATGGAATTGTTTGCTCGAGCAGAATTAATTAGTTTTGCTAGATGATACTTGGAATAAGAATAAACCACACTTGAAAGATGGGAGGCAAAGAGTCATACCCTTTGGTCCAACTAGTCTGTGCCGACCAGATATCCCAATTTGGCCTAGTCCTATTTGCCAGGATTTGGCCCACATCCCTCTGAATCCTTCCTATTCATATTAAAGCAGGTACGTATAAAAAGGGAAGTAACAAAGAAGAACCAGATATGACAGGAAAGGAAAAGCTACCCCAAAAAACATGTGGAATGCACTGAAAGAAATGGTGGCAAAGAAATTCAACAACAAAAAAACTTGGATAATAGAATTGGATAAATACAGGAATTTAAGGATTCCAGGAAAAGCAGGGGAGGAGACAAGAAAAAGGTTGTACATGCATGAAAGGCCAAATAGGTTTCCTGTGTTGCATCATTCTGTGCAGAGGTCTCCACAACCAGTAATGACTTTGGTGAATACTCAAGAGTAGTTGAATGAAACACCTAACAATCAGGTATTCTTATTCTGATCAATGCCACTGAACATGAATACAGAGGTCAATAGACAATTCCTTAGAAAGTAGGAATTCCTGTGCAATACGGAGACCATTGAAAATCAAACTCAATTTAGTGCTCAAGTCATGGAACAAAGCTTGAATTCAGCATCTCTCAGTTGGTAACTTAACCAAACCAAGCTGACTGCATGGCAATATGCTTCACTAGTTGATTTTCCCTAACCATTCAAAAAAAAAAATCAAACAAACATTCATGTTAAATTTCCAACCAAAAGGTTAGGGAGGACAATGGGCAACATACTCTACTACTTCAAAAAAAAATTGAAGGAACACATGGACTTGTGTGAGCAAAGAGATCTGCAGCAACTGTTTCCTTCAATAAGGCTGTTTGTTTCACCATGTAGACCATAAGATTGGAAATAATTTCTTTCAATTCAAAAGTAATCAAAAGAAAAGAATCCTCCCTTAATACATCCAATTTTATTAAACTTAGCAAACTTTATTAATTTTAAAATTCTCACTTCATTCGTTCCTAGTGCTAAATCAAGATTTTAAGTTAATTTGTCACATATGCATGCTTATTCCCAATAGTTATAACTAATATTACTTCCAAAGATCAGATCCCCAAACTGCTCCTGTTGTCCGAATGATCACTGTAGTAAATTCCTTAAAATCAATGGGAATCTTCTCCTGCATGAAGTGCCATCAAGCGTGCTGCTTGGTCTGCAGTACAGGCCCAGGTTCAAATCCCACCTCCTCCAAATATGCGAGATAACACTTTTGAACAGGTTGATTGGAAAAGAAAATTATCAAACTTATTTCAATGTTTTTTTTTTTCACTTCCTTAACCCCAAAACAGGCAAACCAGAAACCAATGATTTGAAGTTACTATCTCATTCTCAGGTGCAAAAGTTCACCAGAACCTGTGGAAGCTTTCCCAAGCTTTAAAGAAGGAAATGTTATTGCTTCCACCTCCTCCCTCTACCTGCCCCTCTGCACCCCCATGAAATAAACAAGTTACCTTACCATTTCAGATTTTCTTTTTTTGGCTTTCTTTACATCTTCTGATTTGATCTTCTTCGGTTTGAAATCAACACTAGGGCAGGCAGACAGACAGATTAAATTCAAGGAACTTTTTTTGCGTTTTGCTATTACTGCCTACCGTTTAGGCTTAAAGAAACTCCGGGTGACAATGCAACAAATTGAAATCTCTACCCTATAATTTACATAAAGTGTTCTATTTTTAGGCAAGGTAAAGCTACCATTCTTGTTCTACTGTGCAGTTTGCTTTGTACTATCATAGTCCAAAATACTAAGGCAATTTATACACAGCACAACTATTTTAAATACTATCAAAATTCAGAGTGGACAAAACTCATCTTCAGATGTTTTGCATTGCATACACGCTGTTTCCTCACAGGTGGAAAACGCAGTTATTCCTCTTACTTAATGCTATGCACAAAGTGTTCTTCAGGTTTGCATCTATATTCCAGTCATAGCAATCTGCCCGTTACTTGTATTCTTCCAAAACTAGTACCACAGAGGAAATGAGCATCATACCAACTACTTTATTCTATTCCCTCCCACTGGTTCTTTTAAACTTTCTCTCATGACTCCCTTTCCCGACTACCCCAAGTTATAATAACCCTTCTAAATTTCCTGTGCAGTACGTAACTCCAATTTCATTGGCTGCATCGTTGCACATAGTATCACAAAAGGGAAAGCCCACAAACAATCTACGCAACAACTTTCACGATTGTTCACGGCTACAGATGACTTACAGTGAACACCTGAGCCGGAGAAGAAAAAAGCTTACTCATCATCTTCACGGGGCCTCTTCATTGGCTTGTTTTCCACCTTAATGGATGGGATATAATCATCGTCTGGCTCTTGCTTTATACGAGGAGGGCTAAAGGGAAGGGAAGGGGAGTGGGGAAAGAAAAAACTAAAAACTTTCAGTTCTTGTATAACTGTGTGGTGGATTTTTACAGAATATACTGCCTTAAGTAACAGCCCACCCTTGAGAAACACAATTGGCAGTTCCTAAAAAAGTCAGATGACTAATTTAGCATTGCGTAATTCAACAATTCCAAAAGGTTCCAGTACAGGACATTCATTGAGAACCATATGGTTGCCAATCAGGAAAGCCCAGAATAAATTTGAACGAAATGTATAGTTCAGACATCCTTGGAGCATATCCACCATTAAATGGGATAAGGCATTCTTCAACTATACAAAAATCTTTAGGTGAGTGAAATTCAGAAAGTAAGAATTAAATAATGTTGAATGCAATCTCTGATCCTTCACTGCTCATCATCTGCAAATAGTTCTTTTCAATTCACTCATTATTTCAAGAAAGAAAGAGTTTCCAAAGAATTCTGCTTTCTTTAAGGAAAGCACATTTAGCTGTGAACATGCATTCCAAAAGGCTCAAGCCAAACATTTTTCACGTGATTAATGCCTGACAGATAAAAGGCATCATTACCTTGTGAAACCATTCTCCTTCTTTATTCTATCTCCAGAACCACTACTTGAAGAATGGATCTTATCCTTTTAAAGAAAGAAAAGCATTACAAGGTGTACAGGTTACTGCAATTTTTTAAAAAACATATTACTGACAGAATTTGGCCACTGGTAAAGTCATCACTTTACCTCATCCCTTGATGCTAATCAGGCACCTTAGTTTTGCAGTATACACACATTGTGTGATGCGTGTGTGATGGGGGCAGTTTAACAGTGCTGGGATTTAGCTGGTACAAATCACAGAATGGGAGGTGTTAAGTTGCCTTGGCGCCTGGTGCAATAAATCCTGTAGATGATACATGCTGCTGCCACCGTATGTTAGTAGCTGAGGGAGTGTAAAATTAAAATTAGTGGTGGAAGGTGTGTCAAATCAGGCACACTGCTTTGTCTGTGATTGGGTCAAGCATTAGTGTTGTGGGCACTGCTTGCCACTTGCCTAAATGATTACAAGGAAAGCACTGACCCACAGAAATACCTAGCCTCTAATAATCTCAATACTTGCAGCTGGTTCTATCCAGTTTTGAATCAATGGTGATCCAAAAGAATTTTGATGGGTGAAATTCAACAATGGCAAATGCCATGATCGTTGAAGGATGACAGATAATCTGATTGGCAATGATCAGTTGCTGGTATGTGTTGTGAATGTAGTTTGTCATCCTGATTTTGTCCCAAATTTGCTGCATACAAGTGCAGACTGCTTTGCTATTAACATTGTTAATGGTAGTGAACGCTTCCTGTTTTTGACTTTAGCACAGGAAGATGGTCACCGATGAGGCAGTTTGGGCCTAGGACACCACCCTGAAGAAGAACTCAAGCAACGGCAACATCTTGGAGGTGGTAACTGGCCTCTAACAACGACAGCCTTCAATACTTCAATGATAGATATCAATTCCTCCAGTTGCAAAGCTCTCTACTCTGATGTGTGAAGTACTGGACAAAATTAAACACGGGGTGATAAAAGATAAGTAACATGCAAATAACCAACATCAGAGTGATGATTTCCAAACAAAGGTATCTACCAGTCACCCCTTAAAAATCAAACAGCATTGCCATCATTAATTTTCACCCGTTAACATTGTAGGGTCACCACGGACTCAAAACTGGACCGGACCAATCGAATACTGAAACTACAAAACCGGATTACAAGTTGCGTATTCTGAGTCAGTCACCTCTTTACTTTCCACTTGACTAAATGACTGGACTGTGAACAACAACACTGGAAGCTGGATACTAATCACTGACACAGCAGCATGCTGGTTTGGCACTCCATCCGCCATGTATAGTTATTAATTCCCTCCAGTGAAGAGAGCTTTCCTACCAATTTAATAGATTTTAAAAGCTTTTCTAGGACACTTTGACATCATATGCTGTTAAATGCTGCCTGGTTAAAAAGGATTTTCATCCACATGGCTCAAGGCTGTAACGGGTCTGGCCATCTTGACGGAACAAAAACTGCTGGTTGGAATTTATTTCTTCATGCGATGTGGGCATCACTGGCTAGGCTAGCATTAATTCCCTGTCTTTAATTGCCTAGGGGGCAGTTAGGAGTCAGCCACCTTGCTATGGTCTGGAATCACATGCAGGTCAGATCAGGCTATGGCACATGTCCTTCCCAAAAAAAAAAGGACATTAGCAAACTGCATGGACTTTTACAACAATCAATAGTGCTATGGTCAAAGGGATAGAATTCAATTTAAAAAAAAAAGAAAATGTAAGTTTTCATCGCTTTTCATGGTGGGATTTGAACCAGTGCTCCTAGAATGTTAGCCCGAGATTGTAGATTGCTAAGTAAGAGCCACTTAAAACTAGTGATGACTGCCTTCCAGCACTTGGTTGATAACTGACAGTTGATTGACTGAGCAGTGATTTTCCGGTTTAGACTTGTTCTACTTTTTGTGGACTAGAACAAACGGAAGAGGTATGGCTCAGTTGCAGCACAAACCTTTAATGTGCAGCCACAATATTGTCTGCACCCTCAATGGTGAATTGACATCACATGCTCAGAATTGAACTTGAAAACTAGCTTCTGAGGATAGTCTGGAGACTGCCATAACAGGTCATCCACTCGGCATGATCTTTTGGACCGGTGCTGAACTTCGCCATCATCAAAGGTGGGGGATGTTCACAGGCCCCCATTTTGTTGCTGGTTTTAATTGTTGACTCTTCATGACTACATATGGCAGAACAGCAGAACTTTGATCTGACCCCTCAGCTGTGGAGTTGCTGCTTAACGTAGCTTATAGGAAGTCAGTCTGCATGTATGTACTGTAGCTTCACTAGATTGGCATATCATTTTTAATGTGGCTGCTGCCATCCTGAAAAGCTCTCAGACACGCCTCATTAACCTCTGTTTGATCCTCTAGTTTAAAATGGGAGGGGGCCTGTGTCAGGTATTTGCCATGTCCTGAGGCTAAAGATTGGTGGAACACAGCAGCTGATGACCCACAGCTCCTGATGAATACCCAGATTTAAGCTGCTAGGTCTGTTCTCACTATGTGAAAGTATCACATATCCCAACGGGAGACTTAACCTGATGAAGGAGCAGCACTCCGAAAGCTTTGATTTCAAATTAACCTGATGTTGTCTGACTTCTGACTTTGTCCATCCCAGCCCAACACCAGCACCAGGACCTCCATGTGTTTAATGGTCGAGGGCAGCAAGTGTCAGGGTGTCTCTCCACAATGACACTACTAACATTACAATCATTGTCAGATGAGTGACAGGAAAACTGAGGAGTTTAGCTCAAAGTTAAAAAGGTTCCAAAAAAAAAACACTCAGCTTGAAACAAATGCAATTCCAATACCTTCTCCTCCTTCCTTTTCTCCTTGTCCTTATGTTTGTGTTTGTCAGAGCTCCCATCTTTATGCTTTACTTTGTCTTTTTCCCTTTCCTTATCTTTGTGTTTCTTTTCCGAAGAATCTTTGTGCTCACTGCAAGAGAGAGAAGCCTGTGACAAATAAAAACCTCACGAAATTTTGCATGTTATACAAGGTGCATTGTTTCCAACAAATTTCTCCCCCTTCTCTTCCACTACAGAGTGGCTGCACTCCATAGCCTTTAGAAAGGATATAGATAATCAAAAAGAGGCTATTAGGAACCCAGTATGTGTCCGAGTTGCACCTGCCTGCTCTGGTGGATGCAAGAGAACCCGTGCCACTATTCTGAGGAAGTGCAAGGGTATTATCTCAAGTTCACCACTCAAATGAGCATCACAAGAGAAATAGCCCCTGGTTCACAATGGTAAAAGCACTGTTAGCAGGTCTCGGCATTGCATTAAGTAACATACTGGCCTTGAAGGGAGTCACATAGCTGTACCACCAGGGTTAAAATAATGAGGACTTAAACAAATCATTGTTGTAATTCTTGAAGTTTTAAAAGGATCAGGGCAGTGTTAATTGGAGCATTCAAGTGGTCAAGTGGAACAAATGGAGTGGACAGAGAGAAATGATTTCTGCTGGTTGGGCTATCTAGGTTCAAGGGCAGAGTCCAAAGACGAGAGCACAGCTTTCTGGGGTGCAGTTAGGAAACATCTCCACAGACAGGGTGGTAAGTTTGGAATACTATTCTACAACAGCAACTTATGCAATATCAATTTTGTTTTAAAACAGATTGATAGATCACTCAAAAGCTCAAAAGGAGACAAAGGTATGGGCTTTGATTGGTGGAAGTGGCTCAACAGGCTGAATAGCCTGTTTCCATCTCTGGCAACCACCTGGAAATCGATAAAAAATTTCAAGCCCACCGACTCCCACAGCTACCTAGAATACACCTCCTCTCACCCACCTTCCTGCAAAAATGCCATCCCCTATTCCCAATTCCTTTGCCTCCGCCACATCTGCTCCCAGGATGAGGCATTCCACTCCCGAACATCTCAGGTGTCCTCGTTTTTCAAGGACCGCAACTTCCCCACCTCGGTGGTCGAGAACGCCCTCAACCATGTCTCCCGCAACTCATCCCTCACACCCCCTCTGCAATAACAACCAAAACAGAATCCCCCTCGTCCTCATGTACCACCCCACCAACCTCCGGATCCAACACATCATCCTCCAACACTTCCGCCATCTGCAATCCGACCCCACCACCAAAGACATTTTTCCCTCCCCACCCTTATCTGCTTTCTGGAGGGACCACTCTCGCCGGGACTACTTGTCCGCTCCACACTCCCCTCCAGCCCCACCTCACCCGGTACTTTTCCCTGCAACCACAGGAAGTGCTACACCTGCCCCTACACCTCTCCCCTCACCCCCATCCAAGGACCCAAGAAGACTTTCCACATCAAGCAGATGTTCACCTGCACATCTGCTAACGTGGTATACTGCATCCGCTGTTCCCGTTGTGGCCTCCTCTACATCGGGGAAACCAAGCGGAGGCTCGGGGACCGCTTTGCAGAACACCTACGCTCGGTTCGCACTAAACAACTGCAACTCCCAGTTGCGAACCATTTCAACTCCCCCTCCCATTCCTCAGACGACATGTCCATCCTGGGCCTCCTGCAGTGCCACAACGATGCCACCCGAAGGTTGCAGGAACAGCACCTCATATTCCGCTGGGGAACCCTGCAGCCCAATGGTATCAATGTGGACTTCACAAGCTTCAAAATCTCCCCTCCCCCTAAAGCATCCCAAAACCAGCCCAGCTTGTCCCCGCCTCCCTAACCTGTCCTTCCTCCCACCTATCCTCTCCTCCCACCTCAAGCCCCACCCCCATCTCCTACATACTAATCTCATCCCGCCCCCTTGACCTGTCCGTCCTCCCTGGACTGACCTATCGCCTCCCTAACTCCCCACCTACACTCACCTTTACTGGCTCCATCCCCGCCTCTTTGACCTGTCTGTCTCCTCTCCACCTACCTCCCCCTCTCTCCCTATTTATTTCAGAAGCCCCTTCCCCTCCCCCATTTCTGAAGAAGGGTCTAGGCCCGAAACGTCAGCTTTCCCGCTCCTCTGATGCTGCTTGGCCTGCTGTGTTCATCCAGCTCTACACCTTGTTATCGAAGGCTGAAAGGCCTACTTGTGTTACTACAGTACACCAAGCTATTCAATCATGTTAGCCACAATTTGCATTTAAGCTCCATGTTACATTTGCTACGTGGCCCAGATAAGCTGCTGTAGTCCATGCGGAGAACTGCTCAAGAGAATAGCACAGTCATGATGTTTTAGTGGGTCAATGGTAGCAACATCAGTTCGGGATTAAATCAGCTCAGTCAGTGGGTACCTGAGTACATAACCCAGCACCAATTTTCTATTAGAGAAACAAAAACGTCAACGTCCATATATTAGTCCATTTTCACAAGTGTTGACTTGAGACAGAAACAAACCTACACAATTATTAGAACAAAAAAACTGCGCCTTGATGCTACAAAGGTATATAACCTTCAAAATATACTGCTCCACTTTCCCAATGTATGTTCAGCAGCACCTTCATAACGACCACCACGTAGCACAAAGGCGACAGGGGCATAGAAATACCATCCTTTCTGTAAGATGGGAGAGAATTAGGCCATTCAGTCCATCATGGCTGATGTTTCTCTACTCCTTTCTTCTGCCTTCTCCCTGTAACCCTTGATCCCTTCACTAATCAAGAACCTCTCCCCATCTTCAAGACATTCAATGCCTTGGCCTTGCCAGCCTGCTGCAATGAGTTTCACAAATTCATCACCCACTGGCTGACGAAATACATCCTCATCTCCGTTCTAAAAAGGTTTTTCCCTTCACACCGAGGCCGTGCCCTCCAGTCCTAGTTTCCTCTACAGTGCAAACAGCTTCTCCACATCCACTATCTAGGCCGCTCAAGATTGAAACTTGCACAATGAGACCTACTGAGTACAGATCCAGAGTCCGCAACTGTTCCTAATTAAGTTATTCCAAATTTGGTCAAAAATCAAAAATTCTTCAAAATCAGAAATCCCTCAATACGCTACTCAGGGCCACGTGATCTGCAGCAATTCAAGATGAAATATACCTGCTCCAGTAATGATGCTGGCTTATTCATGATGTCTACCTCCAAAACGAAGAATTAGAATAGAATTAAAAGGCAGCTGCTACATTGGTTAGACAAAAGAGTTAACAACTGTGTAACAGCCCACCCCTTATTAACAAGTGGATTAGATTGGGGCTCTGGGTTTAGTCGTGAACAGCGGTCCACAAGGCTCTGTTGGAATCATTGGTGCTAATTTTCATTCAATACAAGAGGTGATTTACTGGATTAGTCGATAGAAATGCCAGATCTGACGCATTTAGCAGAGCTTGCTTAGCACTGTTCATGAATGTCCAAAATTGGACACTCATGAACACAGTCTGAAAAAAAAAGATTAAAATCTCTCTTCAAAATGGACTGTCCACAGTTAAAGAGAAAAGGTGAGAGAACTGTTCTGGATGGTGATTTACAGACTTTTAATTCTCCAAACATGCGATTCCGCAGCAATTGTAGAATAATACTTAATCTCTTTCGTAAATGATTTAAGTACTGTACATGCAACCTACATGCCTGGGTAGCACTTCACACTGTTGGAGTGAAAATCCCATTGTTGAAATGAATATGCAACCAAGTTCACAAGACCAGGGATAACTAAACTATCGGCAGTGGGGTAATAGGGGAGGGAAAAAAAAACAAAAAAAATGCTTTCTCCACCATTCAATATTTCTTGAACCTTTGTTCTCATCACAATTAAAAAATGGCCTAACTGAAAGTGGTGTGCCTGTCCATCAGCATCATAAGACTCTTAGTCAAAATTCATTGACGTTTAAAAGTTCAAACACTAAATCAAACTTTCAAAAGGTATGTAAATTAACTGATCAAAGTTATTTTTTCCAAAAATTTCCTCAGGAAAATAAGTCTACAAAAGAGATGCTGGTTGCATAAAGAACTTGACTGCAAGATTAAAAAGTGGTTGCAGCATTCAAGTTTAAGACAAACTCTGAATGGGTTAAAGTACACAAGACCTAGCAAGAAAAAAAAAAGGTGGTATAGGCAGACTGTCTTGCTAACTTTGCACCAAGAAAAGGCGGCCTCAGACCGAGTGCCATTATTCCCATTTCACAAATAGAGCTAAGATTTCGGCCTCTTTGGCAGACTATTTTCTGTTGCCAACTCAGTCAGCTTGTTGCCAAGACTGCAAACTATAAAAACAGTGTCTCATTGACGTTCTACTACCCTCCCAGAATCCACATCACGGTTCTCAAAGACTGCCCATCAAACTTATATCCAGAAAAATAAAACTGGTTAAGTCCTGAATTCTTAAAAAGACACTTTTAAAATGTCGCAATGCAAACACTTCTCAGCGGATTAAAAACTAGCATTCCTGCAACTTCAACTATCTTATCGGCCGTCCACATTTCAGCACAATCGTTATGTTCTTACCTTTAGTATTTGGTTCATTAAAGTTGTTCCAAACATTTGTTCATATGATTAAAGATTTAGGCCATCCTTTTCAAGTTTATATTTTACTAGCCAACATCCATAAATTTGATTCTGCTGTCTAGTAGCAACCACATTTACTTTACTGACACATTTGATATTTTGATATGATTTGGCCTAAATATTTTTATTACTTTGTATTTCTAGGGTCTGCTTGAGGAGGTTGCATTGCAATACCAATTGCTTGCAGTGGCTCAGTTGGTTGCACTTTCATTACTACAATTTCAAAAATTCCAAGTTCAATTAACAGTTCACAAAAAAAAAGCCAACGTTCACCGTGCAGTACGAAGGTAACGTTGCACTAATTGTATGTAACACTCCATCTGAAAGTAAGGGCCCATCAGCCTGATCAATGCATACAAAAAGATCCAATGGCACCAAAAAGAGCTCTTATTATTTTGAACGATAGGGTGTTTGTTGCAAGCAAGTTTAACTGCTTATATTATAATGGCCGTAAAAAACAAAAAAAGACAGTGCTATATAAAATGAAAGGGTTTTTGTTGCACAGCCAAGA